TGTACGAGATCCATCATAGTGCGTCTTGGTGTGTGATGGGTGTGTGATAACTACTGGGTGATAAGTCACAAATGTTTCAGTTGTTTCTCTTCTTTTGTTCGTCTAACGAACAATCCAGCTGAGCGGACATACTGTTTTCTCTCCAAGAGCGGGCTCTCTTTTAACGACGGTCGTGTTGCGGCCGTGAAAGTGTGAATGCTTCGTGGAAAGAGGATTCCACAGCAATCGTGTGCTGCTATAACCGACAACCGCGAACACGAAAAGTTTCATTTATAGCGCGGTCTGTTGTTTCGCTTTAGCTCAGTCGTCAATCGATCGAGCGTGTCGGCAGAAAAACAGAAAAAAAAAAAAAAGAAAAAAAAAGAAAACATCTCGGACTTGTAAAATTGTAATGTTGAAATTGCGAACGTATTTTCGAAAATTCGGCGGGGGTGGATCGCGAGAAAGCGTCGAAACGCAGGTTCCGTAGAATGCGTTGCGCTCGTGCTTCCTCCGCGGTTGCTCGCGAGGACAGTTGTCTGTCAGCCGACAACCAACGTAAAGTAATTGAATCGGCAATTCGTGGAAGGAAGTAATTAATTATTGTTCGCAGCGGACGCGGAGCTAGCTAAGATTGAACGTGGTTTATGCGACGCATTCGAACGGAACGTCGGTGTTTCGACCGGGTGGTGAAACAAATCAACTCCGTAAGCTGTACAGCATCTTCTGTACAGCGATCGAGAGTATGCTGTTCAGTATTTATGTCTCTGTGTTTCAGAATTCCATATCCCTGCGCACCTAAACCTAATCTTCAAGAAGTCGGCATCTATCGGGAAACGTTGCTTGGAATCAGGCAAAACTGTGAAACGGAGGGGCTTAAAGATAAACGCTTCCGACAAGAAGAAGCCGTTTCAGTGTCAAAAGTGCGGTCGCGGTTTCACCTTGAAGAGAAACAAAGATCGACATGTGAATTACGAATGTGGTCACGAACCAAGATTTCAGTGTCCTTATTGTGGTCTTCGCAGCAAGCAAACGTCGCCGGTCTACGCTCACATCAGGAAAAAACATCCGGAAGAGGAAGTGTTTATCTTCGACATGAAGCTTTGAACTCGAACACTCGACGATCCATCCGTTCTACGCTCGATCTAATGCTCAGTGTTAATCGACACGTGTCGCTTTTCGATCATCTACTCGCTTTCTATGGAAACGTATTTCTCTACAGCACGCGCGTTCATCTTGAAGATCTTTCCGGTGCAACGTGAACCCACCGACGTTGCATTTAACCTTCAAACGACAATTATGTGTAAATATTTCGAGTAAAATGCATGCAAATTTACACAGAGTACAAGTACATGCACGCCAATGATCCTTCATAGTTTAACATTTCTCTTACCGTATTATACGAATTTCTGCTAACGTGCACGCCAATTGTTCGAGTTGTCGATTAGTAACCTTTCGTCTGCATTCTTCCGTGCACGAATGCCTAATTGAACATCAAGGATGTCGTCATCACCCGAAGACAACGGTACACAACGATCTCCATTCAGTAGATATAATAATTATCGTTAACGTAGCCTAAGACGTATTTTTCTCTAGTACGTATTAAAAAAAAAAAAAAAAAAAAAAAAAAAAAATAAAAAAAAAAG